TCGGCGACGCGCCACTCACAAGACGGATCTCACCGCCTGCCGAGCTACCAGTACCAGCCGTCAACGAGATGCTGCCGCCCACAGCAGTCACCCCAGTGCCCGTAGTAGTACCCGCCAAGAGCGAGATACTGCCACCAGCACCAAGCGTGCCGCTGCCCACAGTGACAGCCACAGACCCGCCAGCACCACCATTCGCAGTGCCAGAGCCAAGCGCGATGTTGCCAGACGACCCGACCCCGCTGTGCCCGTGCTCAAGCTTATTATAGCCAGAGACGCCGGACACGCCCGCGTCGGTAGAGCTCATCTCGACGTTGCCGCTTGAAAACGTCGAAGCACCAGCGCCAGAAGCAAGCTTCAATGAACCACCTTGCGCCGCCGCCGACTGGCCTGCAACCACCGAGACGGCTGCACCTGCCAGCGTCGTTGTCGCACCGGCCGAGATCGTTACAACACCCGCCATCGCAGTGCCAGTCGCGACGCCACTGGCAATCGTCACTGTGCCCGTGTTACCGTACGCAGACGAGCCACTGGATACCGCGACGTTGCCCGAGAGCCCAGAAACGCCCAAGCTGGACGCCGACGCCATCGAAATGGCACCAGAGGTGGCCGTCGGCGACGCGCCACTCACAAGACGGATCTCACCGCCTGCCGAGCTACCAGTACCAGCCGTCAACGAGATGCTGCCGCCCACAGCAGTCACCCCAGTGCCCGTAGTAGTACCCGCCAAGAGCGAGATACTGCCACCAGCACCAAGCGTGCCGCTGCCCACAGTGACAGCCACAGACCCGCCAGCACCACCATTCGCAGTGCCAGAGCCAAGCGCGATGTTGCCAGACGACCCGACCCGCTGTGCCCGTGCTCAAGCTAAGATAGCCAGAGACGCCGGACACGCCCGCGTCGGTAGAGCTCATCTCGACGTTGCCGCTTGAAAACGTCGAAGCACCAGCGCCAGAAGCAAGCTTCAATGAACCACCTTGCGCCGCCGCCGACTGGCCTGCAACCACCGAGACGGCTGCACCTGCCAGCGTCGTTGTCGCA